GACAATCCCAGAGAACAGTCCTGTCCAACGGATCGAAGGCAGCTCTGGTATCAAGAAACACTACGATTGTTAACCTGTAATAAGTATGACGGTGTTCTAATATTTGGTGAAAGGTGAAGATGTGATCAATACATCCTAGACGGACAGGCTTCAATGAGTTGTAAGGCGCTTGAAGAAACCCAGTGCTTATAAGCGGGACGTTTCGCGAAGCTGAAAGCGACTCTACTCGCCATTTTCATGGCGTTATGCAATTGCAGCTAGCCTTCAGCCTAGCTCAGTTTGATATTCAGTTGCAACAGGAGCTGCAACCAATTTACTGGCATCGATCAGTTTAGGACGATGAATCTGTTGGCCACTGAAAAGTAAAGTAAGATTAGTGCAAACAAGGCCATAATCAGAGTCCAGATAAGTACTCCAAAAGGATCGACAGTCTTGTACACAATCACGCCAGCGGTAGCTGATCGCCACGTGATCAGTCTGAGTCCAGACTTGAGATGCAGAGGGAGGACTCCAGGTTGTACATCGGCGATGACTGTGCCGGTAGTCAATGCTAGCCGGAAACAAGTTGTGGTCTGCGAACAGTTGCAGTAGATGGTCACCGTAATCTGACCTGCGACCAACAAGTCCACATCGGCCATTTGAACGACTCTCTTCTGTGCCTAGACGCCCGACCTAAGCATTCAAGTCTCCGGCTAGTAATATAATATCTGTCGAAAGTACTTTATGTAGAACTGTTAAGTGGTGGTGAAACTCATCCTTAATCGCATCCAGGCCGCAATCTGTCGGAGCATAGGTGGAGATGACCAAAAAACATTGTTTCTAACACCGACTTCTTCTTACTTTGATGAAACGTTCTAAACTAACATCACATAACCGGCTGTTAATGGAGATGCAATATACCAGTGTTGCCTCAGCTCTAGCGCTTAGTGCGACACCGACACCAGAAAACCAGACGAAGATGCCAGATAAACGCACAAAAAACAAGCTTTTTAAAGCGACAGATGGAGAGCGAATTTGTGATACTTCACTACAGTCTTGAATACGGGTCCCGAATAGACAACAGACGTCGATATTAAGACTTTCTAAAGACATGGCCAACCCTATCGGTTGTCCGATCTGCATTAGTGTGCGAGCGTTGAAGTAGGCCAGTTTGAAGGTCAGATATTTCAGAAAGGCTGATTTAGAATTCGTATTCCGTGGTAGGATTCAAAATTCGACTAGTCAGTGACTCGAGATCGTTTAGGTTGAACAGGGTTTCCACCATAGGAGAACTGCTGTATAAGTTGAAAAATAAGAATACACAAAGTGAGAATAGAAGAGAGTAGATAAGTAACGTAGTATATAAAAAATAAAAATGAATGTCATCAAATGAACGTAAATTATTTGGATTTTAATTGAAACAAGAATAATATTTCCAGTAGTAAATGTCACTTCGTTTGATTTGTGTGTGGGCTGTGATAGTGCCCGGGTGCCCAGATTAAAGCAGATGGTTTTCTTAGGAGGCCACATCCGGAGCCTTCGACCTAAAGGTCTGATCCATAAGGCAATGGAGCAACGTCAGGAGATGCAGTCCCATGGTAGCCGGTGACCGACAACAGTTTATATGCCTTTTGTTCCCTCAGGATCCTGGAGCCCATTCGGGACTCGCCAAGTGAATGTGCTTGCATTCCAGTGTTGAGAGACTCAAAACCAGTATATATTGCTTCAAAAACTCAACGTGTTAAACACGGGGCTACTGTATTCAGATATCCACTAGCTCGTTCAGAGGAAATGGATTTAATTATTTATTTGTGAGGGATCAAGTTTTCCCATAGTCGATGTTAAGGACTACATTTTTGCAAGTAGTCCTTTACCAAACATTTGATCTGTTTCGTAATTACACCAATATTTTTCTCAGACTGTTATCTCTATCGATTGTCATTTTTAATTTCATAGTTTCGATTGACGTATAAGCCAATTAAAGTTAGTATTACATACTAAACAGTTGAAAAACTAGAATTTTATTTTACTACCAATCCTGAATTCATATCCCATAATTTTAAAAATGTATTTGCTTTGAACATGATCACTCGTTTAAATCACTGATTTGAGTACAACATAACTAACTGTAGAACATGATGAAAATCTATGAAAATAGTATTCATCCATATGTGTATATTACAATAATATTTACTAAACTCACTTTTATTGGTGTAATTTCATTGATAAAATAACCAGCTTTCAGAGCGGCTGCATATTTTTCTTGTGATCTTAAAGCGAATAAATCTTGTTCTTCTCGGCTAATTCCAAATCTTTCATAATCATTGATAAATTCAACAAAAGTTAAAATTACGAAGAGAAAAATCAATGAATACATAAAAAATATTTTAGTCTCAGCACGTGTATGATTTCTAGAAACATTTTGGAAGCTAAATTACCTATACTAGACAAGATACGTGAAAAGTGAAGGCATTAATTAATCTTTTGTCAGTAGTAGTAGTAGTAATAGTAGTTCTGATAGTGCGAATTGATCTCAGTAACAAACTGACGATATTATAATGAAGTAAGATTTTTAGATTTATCACAAAAGACATTCGCTTCACCATGAAAAAAATCATTTATGTTTAACAAATTCCGCTCTCGATACCAAGTCAAAGGACTCGTCAGTTGATGCACCTGGGTACCAGAGTTGATGTTCACTTTTGGAATCGGACCCAGTAGTGTCCACTTCAAACCCCAGAGCGTTATCCACATAACTTCTGAGTTCAGATAGCTATTGGCTTGTGCAATGACGTGAATTTTAACTCATTTGTATAAGCTGTTTAAATCTTCCGATTGATGACTAAATGACAATATAAAGGTAATACACACAAGATCTTAAAGGATCTCCAGATTAATTGCAGTCATAAACATCTATGGGAAGATTCAAGCAACCGATACCAAATATATCTGAAATCATAAATATGTTTTACTGATAAACGTCAAAAAACAGCATAATATAATGAATTATAAACATTCATATAATCACTAATTTACGTGCATTGACATCGTTGTGATTTTTCATTAAATTACTCATTTATCCATAACTCAAAATATGCTACATCAAACTAAAATATTCCTTACCTTTTTGCAACATTTTCAGCCGTTCCACCCATAGGGAGATTACAGAACGCATCCATTAAAGCATCATTCATAATCGTATCTAGTAAGGTGAAGCTACCATAATTTGGAAGTTCTGAAGTATTTTGACCCCCTGCACGACGTAAACATGCTCTAGGAGGAGTCGCGTGTGGTGCTTGACTCATTGATTCTTGTCCACCAGCTATTATCCAACCCCCATCCACCGAGGAAGGAAGACTTAACCGATCAAAACCTAAACAAACAGCCTTCAAACCCGATCCGCACATCATATTCACACTCCAAGCAGGCACACAATAAGGAATTCCTACAAAGTGTTTAAAAAATATGTATTACACAGTATTCTTTACTTACATACAAACCAAAAATTACAGATATTAGCAATTGAGAGATATTTATCTGTTATTTGGTTATGATTTATTTATTATTATTAGCTTTATTCAAATATATTTTTGGTACAATATAGAATTCTCAGCACAAAGTATTTCAACAAGTTTCGTTTTCTTATCGCTTGATCAATCCTGACGATAAATATTGAAATCTTTTAGTGATACTGAGGAATCATCTTGTACATCATTTAATCAAGATTCCTGAATTGCGATTATACCACAATTACGATACATGCTTAGACTTATTAGGAATTGAAAACAGTCTACCTTTCCAATTAGTGATCACCGGTTAGACAATATGAAGCAGAAAGGGAATAAGTTAACTACCAGTCGAAAAATAAACAAATATACGGATTTGAATAATGCCAAAAACACATTAGAAGTAGAACGGAATCATACTATTTTGCCTTAAATTTTGTTTTGGCTTTATTCAAACGAATATAAATTTTCAAAAGTCAATTAAAATGTTCAAATAAACAAAAAAGAATTTGACAGAATTTTAATAGGTATATCATTCTGTTTTCTTTCACTATTCTAAAAAAAATGACCGAATTTTTCAAATGTGAAAGTTTCTAGAGGCTTGGGTCACTCAGCAATCAACAAACATCGGAATCGATCCAACCCATCAACCAATCAGAAAAATCATGAACAAATATGGAGGACCAAGAATCAGATCAGAGAGAGATACAATCAAAAATAAAAAGGTAGATCAAGATAGACAGGACAAGCCGTTAGTCATATGTGGAGAAATTTGAATGCTTTACTTCAACTTGAAGTATGTGGTGATGATGTTGTTCAGAAGAACAATGAAAGCTCCACGACGAAACCGTCCAGCTCAGAGAATGAAGCTCCACCAAAATTACTCACTTGAGCTACAAATGTTCACTATGACAGAACTTTATTACTAGACGAGGAATTGCCTACTTATTTAAAGATGAAATGCAATCATATATCTGAAAATAGTGATATATATATACCAGCTAATATAGCAGCTTGTCTAGCAGGATTCTGTCCAGTAGATGTTGTTAACACTTGACCAAGAATCACTTCTTCCAAATGTTCCATAATGTGATTTTTTAATTCTTTTGGATTAGTTGAATTCTCCACAACATTATCCAATACAGATGAAATTACTTGACCGCCTAATTGATGAGCTGATAAACCGGATAAACAACCAGACATTCGACCGATAGGACTACGTAATGCGCTAACAATGAAAACACCGGTACCATTCATCTAAAATAAGATAAATGTATACACATTGAATAAGTAGAGGATTTAATTTTGACTGCTAAAGACAGTAAAAATTTGTGGTAAAGATATAAATATTAGAATACAAAAAGAGATAGATGGAATACATTTGTATATTATAATGTATAAATAATGAAACATTCGATAACAAAGGAATAATGAACAAAGATATCGTTTTTACAAACAAAAAAATTCATGATTATTAGTTTGAAAAAAATCCTTTATACTGATAATCTGATATCCTTATGTTGATACATCTTTTGCGGTAGCTTTTACATCCATAAGAGAAGTTGTGTCAGTACAAACTGATGTGATGGTAGAATGGTACATACAACGAGTAAAAGGATTCCATGCAATGACCGGTTCTGAACAATTTTGAGATGGCCCACCACCACAACGACGAAATAAATACTAAGCAAATAAACGAGAAAACACAAGCGGGTAAGAAAAGTAAAACAAGATATATTAATAAATTATATATATATATATGTCGTAGCTCCCATAATGTGATGGAATTCATCAAGCGTATTAATATTCCCAGTAGAATTTAGACTTTTTTAAGATTTGAAAGTAGATAATTTAACGGCAGAGTGAAATTACAGGTATCAAGAAAAAAATCATTTATTTACAATTATTTGGTGTGTATAAGTGCTTATTATATTTTAATGAAACCTGGTAAGAGTATCCTAATGCCAAACTACGTTTTTACTTAAAAATCAATATAGCTCAGTGGCAAATTAGCTATTCCTATGAACAGATTCATTGTTTAGGCTAGTAACACTACCTGGCTTTTTAGAGAAAACTAAGTAAACTATGGTTCAAACTTGGAACCTACTTGTTAGATTTCGAGTTCATCAGCAACTAGGATAACGCTGGACATAAAAAGTGAACTAGAAATACTTTTACTAGAGAGGAGAGTTTAGGGCCATATCCCTAGAGAACTTAATTGAAACACTAAAAAACATATTAGTTAGTCATCATTTGTAATGTTAAAATGAAAAAATAAATGTGAATTTTTGACACCTTTAAGTCATGAAAGTTGCTTCTTTAGACGTAAACAAACGATATCTCAGGTTGCGTAGTTCGATTTAGAAAGAATTAAACTACAAAAAATGCATGGTTTTTTTAAGAGATTCAAGATTATTTAAACCATTCTTAAAGTAATAACGGTAAGTAATTCAGTCTGTTATCATTAGTTCAAAACTGACATAAATATTCATCAGCCAAAGTCCCCATACCTTATCTCCACAGTGATCCGAAATCAATAAGATGGATAGTTAGTCAGTCACAACGTAGAACTTCGTACGTACACACATCAGTTCGAGTTGCCATACCACATTAGCACAGAAATGCAGTTGTCGATTCAAATCCCATAGTGGTAGAAGTAATAAGAGTATAAGCATTAATGTGAAAGATTAGGGTTTGAAGATGTTATTCAAGGAGTATGATCCAGTAAAATAAATTTGGAAAAAAGATAGAAACATAAAGAATTCAGAAGATTAGAATTTGGCAGAACACAAAAAGTTGATGCACCTTCGCCATCGCAAACGATTTGGAGCCATGTCATTCAAGATGGATAGTAAAAAACTGGATGCAAGAGGAATAGTGTGAATAACTTAACTATGGAAATATGGATAAAAAAAGAAGGGAAAGAAGTAAGGTACCAAAGAATATTGAAACCAACTGATGTAAAGAGGGATAAAGAGTAAATCGAATTAAGTCACTATCATCGATTGTGATTCATCTCGCGCAATACCTACAACTATTGGCTGCTATTATTATGCCGGCCCAGATCAAGTGACCTATACCTACCAACACAACTCAGTACAAGTCAATGATCTTGTGAACTAATTTCAAACCTTGATTCAACCACCCCCAGCTTTTTTCATACGTACACTCATACACTAGCCAGCTTTGATTGCCAGAACAGTGGTAGTTTGGCATACGTAATTTGTCCCATAAACACATCAGTCGATAATTCATAGTTTTGTCAAACAATTTTCAATCTTCACCTAGTACCGTACGTTTAACCTTAGTATTATCCATTGTTTGACGATACGCGATCGATTTCTCGACGATACATGATCAAGTAATTACAGGCTACGTATGATTTATACTTTAACGAAACATTTTCCACGAGTATGAAGTAATACGGAGTAGAATGGTGTGCAATGCGATCCTTCTTAGTTGACAGACGAGTATTTGGCCTGTGCTATTAGGTGGGACAGATTATTAAAACCTAGGTGAGCTTACTGTGCTCGATCCGAGATTTGGTCAAAAACAAAATCCATAAAGTTAATGGGATCTCAAAAATATGTGGGGTGATCAGCGCGCTTAATTAATTCACTCTATGATCAGTCTAGGACTTGACGCAACGTTTGCGATCAAAGGGAGAGAACTGCATCCCAAGCATTCCTACGATATTATTTTAGGCGTTCAGAAGGCTCCGAAATTTGTAAGCAAATATATATTATCTGCAAGCTCTAATTTGATAAGTGGGTTTCTTAAAAGGAAAACAATCCGTCGAAATTTAGATGTGTAATTTCTAGAACATTTATGACGAAAGTAAACGAAACTAAAAAGTGTGATACCTAAAAACGCCGATTAAGGTTGCCTATTCCGATGAGAACTCGCCATAAGCTCTACATTGACCATACTGTTCTAGTAAAAGTCTATGTACAAATTTTATACATCATTCAACGAAAAAGTCCGCCACAAAACCTGTCAGTCAACAGAGTTGAGTAATAGCGAGCTAAATATATAAAACTTTCCAGTGTTATTGAACTGTGCATTTCCGTTACTTTTGCAGATACATAGCAGGATTTGATATTCAAGTATTGCTTATAAACCATTCAAATAAGTTAATTTATTGTTCTACATTACTCACCACTTAAAAAAACGAAGATACAGTTAATCGAATCAATATACATATGTACCAGATATTTAGTTTAGTTGAAATAAGAATATGAAAAGAAGTTAGAAAAATATTGTATGCGAATAAACTAACATATCTATACTTACAAACCATTTCCGACTTTGTTTGAATGCAAAAATAAACACTTTAGTCACAAAAATAATGGAATATTCAATTATTCACCGTACCGGAAAATTCAAACATCCTTTTTTAAAAAAAAGATAGTTTATAATGCTATGTGTTTCTTAAGATTTAAACGATTCATCGTTTTCTTAAAAATAGGATACTAATAGCAACTGAAATCCTCTCTTTATTAATCTGCAATAAATCAATGTAAGTATTAGGTATAAAATCGTATTTTTAATTATCTTTGTGACTAAGATTAATTAGTTTCTAAGTTCTTTTTATCGATTTTTAGTTTTCTATTCATTCGAATGCCCAGTACAACATACTTAAAACACTATACAAAAGTTAAATTTTAATTGTCAGTCCGTCACAATCAACGTAGAGCCTGGAGTAAATGTGCATTGGCCCAAACTCCCACACCACAATAGCATGACGTGATGAAATCAACAAGATGAATAGAAAAGCAACTGAAGTAGTGTAGTAGCAACGACAATGAGAAATCCTAAAGATCAAAAATATAGCACAAGAAATTAAGATTAAAAATATGCAGAAGAAGACTGGAACTTAAGATTCGAAGGAATATAAAAAGTGAATGCGCCTGTGCCACTGTGACTGATTCTGGGTTACGTCACCTAACATCGCCAACAACTGATTTTGGTCAACACCTAGACCCCGATCATATAGTCTGCACTTACCAACATAGGTCAAATCAACAGTCATGACTTCAAAAACTGGTGCTACGTTTCGATTTGACCGTCCCTATCTTTCTGGAAACCAATTTCGACACCAACAAACATCCTCTGTTGAGGTAGGATGTAGTTAGATATAAGTAACATGTTCCGACCGCCCTAGTTGATCAAGATTCATAACATCAATCATCACTTAATACTCAATGTTTAACCACATTGTTCACTTGACCGTTTCACGAAATATAAGAAGTGCTTAATCAGAAACCTGAAGTTTACCCATGTCTTTTACTTTCATAAACTTTGAAGTAACATACAGTGGATTGTTGTGCAGTATACTCGGCCTCTGGTAGGAAAATGAACATATTACCTATGCCACAAGTGATGTACGTTGACAAAGGTCAACCGAGCTTTTTGAATCCATAATGATATTTCATCAAACACTAGCATATTGCAGCTGATGAGAACTTTAAGAAACATGAATTGGTCAGAGCTCTTAACTACTTCATTTCGTATCATTGGCTCAGTAGTTGAAGTAAACCAGTTGAAGAACGTTTTGCAACTAGAGTGAGAAGTCCATTCCAAACATCCTTGCATTGTTAGCCACGGCAATGAGAATAAATTTAAATAAGAACATCCACAACCTTATGTAGAACGATAAACTGACCCATATTTATAAATCAAACTCAGCATCTGATCACGAACGGTTAATTGTTTAGCACGGACTTGGTAATTTTACTTTATTTATGTTTCTAAATTGTACTTCCTTAAAGAAACGCAGACTAGATTAATGGACGAAAAGTTGGAACTACTAAGTTACTTAAACAGTTACAAATATGTATTCTACATCTAAAGCATTGGATGTATTTAATGTCCAATTTTTTGAAACTATATATTAAAATTTCAACGAAGTTCCACGTAAAATATCTATAAAAAGAAAGGTTCACTTACTTGTGGTGAAATTTGCAAAGTTGGAGAAATAGGATTACTTACACTGGGCTGATCAGAATGTCCTTTGCTACTACGATTTAAACGTGAAGATTGTGATTTAGTAGTATGATCATCAAATTTCATTGATTTATTAAAATTTGATGTGGACAATTCACCGTATAATGATGGATTACAACTACGATTTGAAATGGTTGTATTAGGTGAAATATTTGATGATTTGACATCAACTGTAGTATTATCACCATTTACATGACATTCAATTATTGGATTTTCAGATTTAATATTTACATGTCCACTGTAGATATTTGAATTTAACTCATCAATAGATAGTATTTGTTCATTTGGTGAATTTTTATTGTAGTCTGGTGCAGGTCTGATCTGAACTAAATGATGAGAACATACAGGTAATAGAGGGACACATGCATTTGTACAACGTTTTTCCCAAGTTGTTGTTGTAGGATCACGAAAACGACATTGCTGACTTGCATTAGGTGGCCTACACCATTTTGCTATACGATTACTAACTATAGCAAATTTAGATACACAAGCTAAATGTCTCTGATTGGCAGTCTATAAAAGAAATGAAAAGAATGTAAAACAATGTACTGATTAGACAAAATCCGTGATATATTAAACATTTCATTATTCCTGAAACGTCACAACATAAACTAAATCGATTTATGTATTTGTTTACCGCAGTATGAAATGCATCCAATCTTTGATTGGATGATATTAAAGATTAATATATTATCGTTTAAAATTCTATACAGTTTATGTATATTCAAAAACCAATTATTAGAACTTTTTGTTATTTATAGTAATATTAACTGTTAATTAATGCTTTACTCAATTTGATCTGTAGCCAGTCGACTAAAATACCTAAAATTTATATCAAATTTATTTAGATTCTAATTCATATATATTGGTTTTTCAAATCTTCCCATTGTTGTTTGGGATTGTAATTGATCAGTCTCTTTTGGCATATGTACAACCTGTGTGGATTGCCTTGATATTGTCATTAAGTCACAAGAGACTGATTAATTGCAGTCCTAAATAATAACGAGAAGATTCAAAAAACCAATATCATTGAATTCAAATTCACCCTATCGCACAAGGTAAAAGTCAAGTGAAAAACGCGACGGCATTCCAAGCGAACGGTACTGAGTTCGAGTCCTGGAGTGGACGTCAACATTCGAAATTCATTCTCGTGTTTGACTTATTTAATTCCGTTATCCTTTAACACGAGTTAAGTTGATGGTTATATACGAGAGCAGCCGGGATGCATATTTCGATGACAATCAGCATACTATCTAACTGGAGTCAGATACAGGGCTACCAAAAGCTAACTGATGAATTTTTAACCTACGGAAAGATATTTAAGAAAACGAGACATCTATCATTGATGTAAGGTAAAATTACAGACTGGAATAAAACAGACGACCTCGTCTAGTTCATAGATGATTTCGAATTATTGTAGTATAAACAAGGTGATAAAAGTGATTATCACAATTATTTCAAATAATTTCCTATCGAGTTCCAAGTGAAAAACAAATTATAATTAGTTTCAACAGTAACAGGAAAATTCCAAATTAAGACTATTATGACAAACTAAGGAAATAAGCGGTGGCTAACAATGGAATCCAGGATGCGTGATCCGTCCCACCTAATGCTCATCAGCTGAGTGTAACTGTATACTACAGTCGATGTTCATTCTGGAATCTCAAATCAAAATCTTTCGCTTCAAACGCCAACGCGTTGTCCGCTTAGTTACTGAGTTTAAATAACTATTGGCTTGTGCCAGAGTGTCCCGAGGTTAAAATCAGCCTTGAGATACTGGTACACCCAGCTGACGAGTATCAAATAGAACGAAACGCATGTTCTGGTTTACACTGTTAGCGACAGCCTATCTATGCATAAAAAGCTTGTGACCTAATGGCAATATCAAGATAATTTGCACAGGACGCATGCATACTACGGGACATTAATCAATTACAATCGTAAGCATCGATAAGATTCAAACAGCCAATTATAAATGAATTGAACTATAGAAATGCTACTAACAGTAGAAGTTCCTACCATAACTATATCTTACATCAGCGAATATATTGAAAAAATCTGTGATTTCTATGATTTAGTGTATATTTCAGTATACATTCATTGAAAATAGGGACAAGTTGAAAATTACCTTAACAGAGTGACGCAACAATTTTTGAGCAGCACGTTGTCTACGTCGATCACGACTTGATAAAGTACATATTGTATCTAATAAATGAGAACAAATTATTATTATCATTATTACTGATAAATTATGAAGTTAGACAATATCTACCTAATGGATAAAAATATACATCAGACAGATTTGAGTTATAAATTATCATGAACTCTATTTACGTAAAATTACGAAAGATATACACATTCAAAGTTAAAAATGAGGCGTTCTCTATTTACTGGCGATAAACAACTATACAACAAGATATAAATATTGACAGAGTAATTAGAAATAGGAAAAGGAACAGGGCCATTTCATAGAATAGCTCAATACAGTTGTATATTCGGAACAAACTGATTACATGTCTTGCTCTGTTTATTGAACTGGAAATACATCAAATATTTAATAATAACACTGTTGTGACTTGTGGCTCTGTCAATTACCACGTGACAAAATCTCCAATCAAAATACCGACTTATCTGACCTTGTTCCCGTGCTAAACCAATGATGTGTTAGCTAGCACAAGCAGTCTTGAGTCAACACTGAGTCCTTATTGATCCGCTGCATAACAACTTCTCGCCTAGCCCAGCCGGTTCAGTCCAGAATACAATATCAGCCTCCGCTGTATGAATCGTATATTTCGGACATACTTGGTCTATATACAAGCATATCAAACCGCGCATCATAAAATGAAAAGTGACAATTATACAAGATTGAGCCAAAAGTGGCTGTGAGTATGAGATAATGTAACTAATAAATTGGGGATAATTTAAGGATGGTAAATCGTATAACGGTAACCAGCAAATCAAATGAAAGCTTATGATAAAAGGAATATGAATACATACATAAACTAGTTACTTAATAATCATCTAATAAGGATATATGTAATAATAGTTCATAAATGATACCAAACAGTTAAAATGCATTTATTCTTCGTTCGGATGTAACAAATATTGATACTGCTGAAAACTAATATAAACTCTTGGATCGTATATCATTTTGATGAAGACTTTTTAAACACCTTACCTTGTTCAATTGGTAATTAAATATTATGTAACCAGTCTCCACAGGGAAGTTCTAATATTGACCAAAGTTTTGTGAATAATATTCTAGTCAATTAGACTTAGAAACTATCATTTCTTTACCTTTCAGTATTGCCTTGATTATAAAACAGTTTCTGTGCATTTAGACAAACGGAAACACGTAGAAAACATCAAAAACCACCAATAACTTCTCAACGCTTAATTGCAGTAGTTCACTACTTATGGAGATCCGTACATAGAATAAGGATAATTCTGTATTTCATGAACTCCCCTTTGTCGTACTGAAACCCACTTGCATGTATATGAGAATACACCTTATATGTGTTTATGACTATCCTAGCCTGATAACAGGTTATTTATAATTTCCATAAATGCTGTTCCCAGACTTACACAGGAAGTTCATGGTTCACAGTTAGCAAATACTTCCATTCTACCTTCAACGATAACGAAACGACGAGGTTTATAGATAACAACAACGAAGTATTGAGAGGAAAGAAAATTGTTCGCTAACGTCATATGGTCTATTTTAAATATAATATGAATGATTTGGATAGATTATCTTTCCTGCGGTACATGGATAGTTACATTACTTTGATAAGAAAACACCAAGGATTAACAATGAAAAAGAATGAAAAGAACTCCATTTTAAGAGGAACATGTGAACGTTGAAACAAAAGTTGTCTGATACGTAGAGTACAAGGGAGTCGCCAAAATACCCAACAAAAGCCTTAGATACGAATAACCGTTATCTTACAGACCAAATACAGGAAATTTCATCGAGATCACGAATAAATCCAAATGAGACAACCATTAAAAACCTGGAAGCACTGAAATGCCGTTTAGTTTCAGTTTGAGTCCTCTCAGCAGTGTGCATACCCACGACCCCGCAGCCAAGGCATTTAGCCTCGCACACGAGCGCTTAACTTTTAGACCACTGAGACGGGTCCAATGAAGTACATGTTGAACTTTGATCGATTTGTGAATTCAATGGGATTCAACAATCTCCACAATCTCAATAATAAATACATGAAAGTTGGACATTCATGCAAATCTCAGCTTAACAACAGTTGATTCTATATTTTGGCATCTCGTCCATCAACCAACATTCTAAAATACTACTCTTGCACTTAACATTGATGTGGGAGCCTTATAGAAAATGAGACATTCATTCTTCGAATCAAAGTTAGTTTCCCAGACTTATCAATCTAGTTGCATTGAATTATTCGCTCGATTTTTTCGTAACATACTATCAACTCTCCGAGGACAATATTGATCGAAGTTATCCGTACTGAGTCCTTTTAATGTAAATGTTTTATGGCTGTAAGAAGTAACGGATAGTAATTTTCAATTTTTAGCTGATTACTTTTGATTATAAATAGAAAGCAAATGAAGTTCAACATCAACTTACTTCCTTTATTTAATACTGGTTTGGTTGAACTCGCTTTACTCTCCTCTATGGCATAAGGTATATAGGCATCGACAAGCTGTTGTCTTAAGACGTATAGAGCTTGATGACACAGGTTCTTATACGACTCCCACCTATCGATAGCCAAGTCAATAACTTCCTTACCAGTGTAAACACCAGCAGATCTGTTCAAAGAAAAAACATCTATAAAATGAGCATTTAATTAATGAAGTGAATGATTTACATCTAATTTGGTCAATCTATATAAAAAAGACTAGTTACCTGCACATTTGTTTGTCAACTACTAATAAACATACATATTTCTTGAAATCATATGATTACTTCACTACATAAATTGTACACAAGCCATCACTTTAATCGTACTGTAGTGAACAAGAACATCGGTAGGAACAACCAACTTCTTTGAACACTAAATTACGGAATCTCTTAGTAAAATCTGAGAACCATACAGTAAATACTTCATGTACAAAATGTCAATCAATTGTTTCAGACTTGATTGTCCTTTCGTTTTCTCGCCAATCATTATCTGTTCTTGTTCTCTTTTCTTCGATCTCCTTAACCTTCTGCCATCAGGCATTTTACTTTCGATTGGTGATACATACTATTTATATCTGTCGAAATCAGTAGCACACACCACTTACTTACTTACTTACTTTCGCCTGTTACTCCCAATGGAGCATAGGCCGCCGACCAGCTTTCTCCAACCCACTCTGTACTGGGCCTTCTTTTCTAGTTCTTTCCAGTTCTTGTTCATTCTTCTCATGTCTGTCTCTATTTCTCGGCGTAATGTGTTCTTTGGTCTTCCTCTTCTCCTTCGACCTTCAGGATTCCATGTGAGGGCTTGTCTTGTGACGCAATTAGCTGATTTCCTCAGCGTGTGCCCAATCCACTTCCAGCGCTTTCTCCTGATTTCTTCCTCCGCTGGAATCTGGTTTGTTGTCTCCCACAGTAACTTGTTGCTGATAGTGTCTGGCCATCGGATCCGAAGTATCTTGCGTAGACAGCTGTTAATAAACACTTGTATCTTCTGGATAATGGCTTTCGTAGTTCTCCACGTCTCTGCCCCCATACAGAAGAACTGTCTTGACATTTGTATTGAAAATTCTAACCTTGGTGTTGGTTGACAATTGTTTTGAGCTCCAGATGTTTTTCAGCTGTAGGTATGCTGCTCTTGCTTTGCCGATCCTCGCCCTCACATCTGCATCTGATCCACCGTGTTCATCAATGATGCTGCCCAGATATGTAAAGATTTCCACATCCTCCAAAGCTTCTCCGTCAAGTGTAATTGGATTGGTGCATATTGTATTGTATCGGAGAGTCTTGCTTTTCCCTTTGTTTATATTGAGACCTACTGCTGCTGAGGCTGCTGCTACACTGGTCGTTTTCTCCTGCATTTGTTGTTGCGTTTGTGATAGAAGAGCCAGATCATCCGCGAAGTCTAAATCGTCAAGCTGCATCCTTCCTGTCCACTGTATCCCGTGCATTCCTCCAGATGTTGACGTCTTCATAATCCAGTCGATGACCAGGAGAAAGAGAAAGGGTGAGAGCAGGCAACCTTGCCTAACACCGGTCTTTACCTCGAACGAGTCGGTGAGTTGTCCTCCGTGGACGATTTGGCAGTTTAGTCCATCATAGGAGTTCCGTATGATATTTACTATCTTCTCAGGCACACCGTAGTGTCGAAGAAGCTTCCACAGTGTCGTCCTGTCCACGCTATCAAATGCCTTCTCGTAGTCGATGAAGTTGATGTAGAGTGATGAATTCCATTCGATTGATTGTTCCACAATGATACGTAGAGTTGCGATTTGATCTGTGCACGATCTATCCTTACGAAATCCAGCTTGTTGATCTCGAAGTTGAGCGTCCACGGAATCCTTCATCCTGTTTAACAATACTCTGTTGAAGACTTTTCCTGGTATTGAGAGGAGAGTGATGCCTCTGTAGTTGTCGCACTTGCTCAGATCGCCTTTCTTTGGTATCTTGATGAGAAGTCCTTCTTTCCAGTCTGTTGGTACATGTTCTTCGTCCCAAATCTTACCGAAGAGGATGTGGAGTATCTTGGCAGTTGCTGTTACATTTGCTTTCAGTGCCTCTGCCGGGATGTTGTCTGGTCCCGCTGCTTTGCCACTCTTGATTTGTCTAATGGCCATGCTGATCTCTTCAATTGTTGGTGGGCCAATATCGATTGGGAGGTCTGTGGGTGCTGCTTCGATGTTGGGTGGGTTCAGTGGAGCTGGTCGATTCAAGAGTTCTTTGAAGTGTTCTACCCACCTGTTTCGTTGTTCTTCAATATCGTTGATTACTTTGCCTTCCTTGTTTTTCACTGGTCTTTCTGGTTGACGGTAATTTCCAGCAAGTTTCTTTGTTGTATCATACAGTTGTCTCATGTTTCCCTCTCTTGCAGCCTTTTCCGCTGTCATCGCTAAATCTTCCACATATTTACGTCGGTCGGTCCTGATGCTCCTCTTCACTTGCTTGTTTGCCTCTGTGTATTCGGCTTGTGCCTTGGCTTTTTCTGCTCTTGTTCGGCTGATATTGATTGCTACCTTCTTGTTCCTCCTTGCTTCAATTTTATCCAGTGTACCAACAGTGATCCATTCCTTGTGATGGAGCACACACCACAGTACTAACATATCTTCGAAAATGAAACAGCATTTATATTAAGAAAAGCTAAGGCGGTAGTAAGTTAACGATATAAGTTGTCTGTTAGGAAGTAAAAGTTAATTGCCAGCTGTTGAAACATAAAGATATTAACCGACCTCAAACCAAAATGTAACAGAAAGAAAACCGAGTAACAACTAGACAGGTTTGGTGCACATACTAGTCAGATTATATATCAGAGACCATCAAAATCGAAAAAAGCAAATAATAATTACAAGACAACATAAATGGCATGTAGTGATCCGGAAAGGTATAGAACGGAACGCATTCCAAACTTCCTGGCATTGTCGCTCAGCGCCAACAGAAGACTCTGCATTTTATCAGCGTCTTCACCAAACAGAACTATGTCATTTGCGTATTCTAAGTCGAGAAGTGGACGTCTTGGTAGGAGATAGACTCCTGAAAATTCAGTCGACGAGTGTTATTTCCAGCAGTAGGTATATAATACAGATAAACAAGAATGGCGACAGTGGACAGCCTTTCCGGACACCACTTGAGGTTGTAAAATCAGATGACAGTTCGCCGTAAGCTCTAACTCGACTGGTAGTGACCCCCAAATGCCCTGGTACGGCCGAGAGTGGGTAGAGGCCACCCTTCCTCTCGAAATGCTCTCACATGACCACGCGTATATAGCCTCTGCCAGGTAAATCCTACTCATTGCCTTCTCGTGACATTACTGTTGTTTACGAAATTGAGAGGACAAAAACCGAATGTCCGGAGCTTCAACCGGGTCGGTGGACATGGAAAGTTCACCTAGGGGAATTGGAAAACCCTGATTCCAAACTAATGGTGCCCATGGGCTCCAGTATCCTGAGGGAACTAATGGCGTATGAATCAATTGTTGGTCATCGGCTTCCATAGGACTGCATCTCCTCACGATGCTCCACTGTCTTGTGGATCAGATCTTTAGGTCAAAAGCGCCGGGTGTGGTCCCCTAAGAAAACCACCTTCTTCGGTTTGGGCACCTGGGTAGTATCACAGCCCTCACACAAATCAAATGAGATTTGTGTGGCGCATATATATCTGGTGCCCCTTTGTACCAATATTTATGTATTAAATAAATAAATAAAATAAGTGTTCGAGTAAAGAGCCTTCACAAGGCTTATGTACTTGTGAGGTACATCTTTCAATGACAATGATATCATGTCCAACGAGTCAACTGGTAAGTTGAATCCCAGGAAAATAAGAAAGCTATGAGGTGTAAAATTATCCAAGGTAATTTAGCTTAGTACTCAGCAACTATTATTATTACTGACGGTAGTTCCTAATCGGGAGCAATCGGAACACTGTGGGCCTTCGCCATCCACAAACTAAGGTCTGGATGCTATTAATACTGGATACATCTTAGCCTTAAAAATAAGCTGTTTGAGAATGATTAGTAAAGAGAGCTAGAGTTTAGGAGCTGTCATTGATTGAATAGCTTGGATATATTTTGAGTTCAAAATGAAAGATGATTATAATTCCATGCTACCTCACTAAGTGTATCTTACATTTTAAAAAATGCTGTGAAAATATTGAATGCGTGTTTTAATGAAAGTAATAGAATTCTGCAACCATCCCGTTTATACAATGACATAAATACTGACCATAACTTGTGCCTGAAATGAAATGTAGTTCATAAGCTAATATGTAAATTACAAACCTTATTGTAACCAACAGAAAAACAAATCACAAGTGCTAAAAACATTGCTAATGGTGCAAGATTATTTCTATTTTTAAGCATTACTTGCCAGTTTATCAGGAAGGAGAGCTCTCAGAAATCCATAAACCACAATTAAGCATGGACCTACATTATTATATGCCCGACCGTTGCTGCTACCTTGACGTGGTGGTCGGGCTTGCCTATCGTGATGATCCAATCGAGCTATGCTGGCTGGAACAATCGTTCCTCGAGGTCCTACCATGCCAGACAGGTCGATTGAAGAGCGGTGAGACTAAAAGCAGCAAACCCAAGGTCCGAAGGCGAAGTCGTACTGCTGACTGTACAGAGGTGTGAAAGCAGTAAGGTGTTTCCTTCAGACAACCAGCATGACAGCGATGCTGCCTTCCCACACGGAGGGGTGGGGTTAGAAAAGGTCGACCCTAAAAATGCACACCTCGCCTTATCCCACGGATATCCGTCTCCGGCGGTAAGGTTTTTTTTGAAGAACGGAGCTATCACAAAAACTACCCACAAAAAGGTCGTGTGTGACCGACCTCAAGCAGTTGTCCCTTGGGCACTGCGGTCACGCTCTCCGGTCATTAAGACCACTTCTAACCCAATTCCCTTTTCAGGTACCTCTAGAAGAATCCTTCCACGGTGTGGGCAACCGGGAAGTGATAACTGCCCTCATACCTCTAACAACACTCAAGACCACTGTATTCATAATCAATCTCCTTCTTCAATTCCTACTACCTTGACTTTCAACACTAAACTTCCTCTCTCGGTTTCCTCCTCAAGTGTCACCATGGCCAACGATTCTAGTGCGCGAAACGCTGTCCCAGGTCTACTAAAACCTCGCTC